AGGGAACACAAGCAGGGGGACTGGGAAAGGGAGAAGCAGATTTCCCGCGGACAGGACGCGGACAGGAAGCCTGATGCAGGGCTTAATCCCAGGACCCTGGGATCATGACCTGAGCCGAAGGCAGACGCTTAACGACTGAGCCACCCAGGCGCCCCTCCCCACGGTCACTTTGTTTTGGCCTCCGTACGCCTGGGCATTTTGGCTCCTGATTCCCCGCTTGATGTCGTCCTTCATTTCTTCTCTCTTACTTAGGTCTTCTGTTCTAATTGAACAGATCAGATCACCATCTTTCTTTTTTTTTTTAGCAGGTTCCACGCCCTGAGATCAAGATCTGAGCTGAGATCAAGAGTCGGACTCTTAACCGACTGAGCCACCCGGGCGCCCCAGATCACCATCTTTCAAAAAGGCTCCATGCTTTTCTTCCTCGGTGCCTTGGTTGAGACTTCTAGCTCTTGCTGGGGTTGTTCTCCCTCTTCTCGCTCTGAAGCTTTCCTACGTGCACTGCTTGGGCCTTGGCGGCTGCTGCTGCCGCTGCTTTTTAAGATTTTATTTATTTAGGGGCGCCTGGCTGGCTCAGTGGTTAAGTGTCTGCCTTCGGCTCAGGTCTGATCTCCGGTCCTGGGATCAAGGCCTGATCCAGCTCCCAGCTCAGCGGGGAGCCTGCTTCTCCCTCTACCTCTCTCTCCTACTCACATACTCTCTCTCAAATGAATTAATAAAGTCGTTTTTGAAAAATTATTTATTTATTTATTTAGCGTGATCTGGGGGAGGGGCAGAAGGGAGAGGGAGAAAGAATCTCAAGCAGACTCCAAGCTAAGCATGGAGCCTGAAGCACAGCTCGATCTCACAACCCTGAGATCATGACCTGAGCCAAAATCAAGAGTCAGCTGCTCAACCAACTGTACCACCCAGGTGTCCTCCTGGGCCTTGGCCTCTTCTAGGAAGGGATTCCTGGCGCCCCCCCACCCCGGTTTGCAATTCTCATTTAGTATTTCAATGCCAACTTGAATATTAGTTATATTTTCTCAGAATCTTCAAAACCTGGCTGTGTTATAAATTCCTGTTGTGAAGGGACCATATTTTATACTTTTGTGAAAACAGGACCGTTCCTTACCCTTAGTGAATGCATACAGTTATTACACACAGTAGGCACTGGATAAATGTCTGTTTCCTTCATCAACCCTTCTCTTTTCTATCCACCAAGACTTGCATGTGCTAGGCATTTCAGAGGTTGGTAGAACTGATTTAGTTGGATCTTAGATCCCACCTTACTTTTTAGAAATCAACTCTACCTACTGAGGCATTATTTCCACATGATAAAATGCACCTACTTGACTATATAGTTCAAAGAATTTTGACAAATGTATACACCCTTGTAACCACCACCCACAATCAAGATATTGAACAAAAGACCCCTATGCCCTTTGCAGCCTTTCCCTCCCCGCGACCCTAGGTAACCCCTCATCTGCTTATTGTCACTATAGATTAATTTTGCCTGTTCTAAGTTTTATGGAAATGGGATCATATGCTATGTGCTCTTTTGTGCTCCTTTCACTCAGCAAATGTTTTTAAGATTCAGCCACATTGTTGTGTGTATCAGTACCTCATTCTGTTTGGTTCCTGGGCAGAATTCTATTGTATGGATATACCACAGTTCATTCACGTGTGAGTGGACATTTGGATTGTTTCCAGCTTTTGGCTATTTTGAATAAAGATGCCATGAACATTTGTATACAGTTCTTTTTGAGGAAGTATGTTTTCATTACTGGGACATCTAGTGAGTGGATACTCAACTTTATCAGAAACTGCCAAAATGTCTTCCAGAGTGGGTGTACCACATGACGTTCCCACCAACAATTTATGAGCTCATATCCTCACCAACACTAAATATTGTCAGTCTTTTTCATTGTAATCATTCTAATGGGTGTGTATTTTTTTTTTTTCTAATGGGTGTGTATTGATATTGGGGGCACCTGGATGGCTCAGTGAGTTAAGCATCTGACTCTTGGTTTTGGCTCAGGTCATGATCTCGGGGTTATGGGATGAATATATTAATATAAATGTTAGCATTCAATTTGATTAATATTTATTTAATATTAATATTGAGTCTTCCAACCCATGAACATGGCATATCTATTTATTTAGGTCTTGAATTTCAACAGTGTACAGGCCTTATATATATGTTTTTAAAAGTCATTCCTGGGCGCCTGGGTGGCTCAGTTGGTTAAGCGACTGCCTTCAGCTCAGGTCATGATCCTGGAGTCCCTGGATCTAGTCCCACATCGGGCTCCCCGCTCAGCGGGGAGTCTGCTTCTCCCTCTGACCCTCCCCCCTCTCATGTGCTTTTTCTCTCTCATTCTCTCTCTCTCAAATAAATAAATAAAATTAAAAAAAAAAGTCATTCCTAAGTATTTGCTATATTTCATTATAGCATATAGGAATTTAATCTATATTTGTATTTTGTATTTTGACCTTGTATCTTGTAACCTTGCATACCTATTTGTTTTGTCCCTTAGAATTTTTCCTATATGATCTAGTCTTCTGCAAATAAAGACAGTTTTACATGTTTCTTTGCAATCTTTATGCCTTTCATTTATTTTTTTTTTTCTTCTTCTTCTTCTTCTTCTTTTTTTAAGTAAGCTCTAGGCCCAGCCTGGGGCTTGAACTCATGACCCCAAGATCAAGAGTCCCATACTCTACCTACTGAGCCAGCCAGGCACCCCTCTTCTCCTTCCTTTTGAGTCTTTACTCTTCACCTACGTGGCACTTTGTTCATATTTCTTATTTCCTGGTGATAGTAATGGCAAGTACTTATTAAGACTTACTATTTGCTAACTACTGCGCTGGACCCTCTGCATATAATATTTCATGTCATTCTTGTTGCTTCTTTGTGAGATAAGCATCATTCTATGAACTAGGACACTGAGGCTCAGGGAGACAAGTAATATGTGGAGGTCACTTGGCATTTGATACATGTTGGAGCCAGGATTTGAACCCGGGGTATCTTGCTTTGAAAACTGTGCTTTCTCTCACAATGGACCAGGGGTAGAACTGGCCTTTTAAGGATCTAGCTGCTGGTTTCAGATCAGACAGTTGAGGACCGCTCTTTCCCAGAATCCCATGGATGGAGTGATGGGAAAACAGAGACTCTTAGAAAAATGTCCTGCTCCTGGCTGCCCTCTGCATGCTGCGGTTCCAACTCCAGCAGAGTTATTTCACTCCTGTTGTATTGGCAGAAGGAGCCAAACACAATCCCCATCTGGCTTCTGGTGCCTTGCCCTGTGTGGCGACTGCCTCATCCAGCCCCTGCTGGGACGGGGTGCACGGGGATCTTGAGCTGTACTCGTAAACAAGGCCTGGGCTGGGTGAGTCAGAGCGGCCTTGGGGAGATGTGCATTTGTCCTCTCAGGATCCCATTTCCGTTGGCTGCCAAAGACCAAATGTCAGTGCGTTGCGCGGCTGCTTCCAGCGTCCCTGCCTGTGGCTGACCCTCCGGGGCTAGCTCACTCAGCTCCGAAAGCCTCGGCTGCAGAGGGCTTGCAGGGGTCAGGAGAGACGGGGAAGCGCAGGCCCGTGCGGGCAGTACTAGTGCTGCCTTGTGAGGGATCACATGGGGTTTTGGCGTGGGGTTGGTGGTTGCAGAGCCTCGGCCTCCTGGCTGGGGTCTCTGGACACAGCTTTTTTCTTGTTTCTAGACAGCTCTTTTATGGATCAGTTCTCCTGGGCTTCTGACCAGCTCCACTTACTGAGGCTTTGCTACAGGCCCCAGAAAGAACTGCCCCTGTCAGCAGGTTAGTGCCTTCTCCACAAGTCGTCACTGGGCACCAAACCAGATTACTCAGGGGCACTCTACCCAAACACTCCCTGGCCTGAAATTATTAAAGTGTGTTGGCTGCCAGGATGGATGGGTGAGGGTCCCAGGGTTGTGTGGGGAGGTAGGGCTAGTCTTCATTTTCCAGATTGTCGTCAGATTGGATCACCTATCCTGGCAGGTATCTGCCCAGGTGCCCGGTGAGCACTGCCCTGTCAGCAAAGCACACGAGATGCTCAGCTCTATGGCACGTGGGCACGTGTGCGTGTGGCCTGTGTGTATAGGTGTGCGTGTGTGCGGGCACGTGTGCGTGGGGTCCAGTTTACCTTAACACTAACCTTTATTTATTTTTAAAATTAATTAATTGTTTTCCTAATCTTTACTTTTTTTTTTAAGTTTTTATTTATTTAAGTAATCTCTATACCCAGCTTGGGCTCAAACTTACAACTGAGCCAGCTGGGTGCCCCTAGTCTTTATTTTATTTATTTTAATTTTTTTTTTTTTTTTAAGCTCAGGTGGGAACTTGGAAGGCTGGGGTTCTTTTTATTTATTTATTTATTTATTATTTATTTATTTGCGAGAGAGAGCACAGGCAGGGGAGAGGGGCAGAGGGAGAGGGAGAAGCAGGCTCCTCGCTGAGCAGGGAGCCTGACATGGGACTCGATCCCAGGACCCCAAGATCATGACTGAGCTGAAGGCAGATGCTTAACCAACTGAGCCACTCAGGTGCCCCGTAATCTTTATTTTTTTAAAAGCTGGGAAGCCAAGGGTTTTCCTGCTTGCTGCAAGTCAGCGAGTAAGGGCACATGCAGAGCAAAACATAGTGTGTCTCTGAAAATGAGGGTTCGAAGGAGGGAAGCTTCAGCCCTCCAGCGCGCCCCGGGCAGCCCTCTTCCTCCCAGCCTCAGAGTGGAATCCGCCCGAAGCCAAGCACCTGGGGAAGCTGTGTTGCCAGCACAGGGCCAGCCAAGCTCTGGTGCCCCAGGCTCCAGTCTTTTCCATGTGCCACTCTACTGTGTAGACAACACCGTCGTGTTTCTCAGCAACCTGGACTTACGGGGTCTCTCCCTTCTTTCTCTCCAGATGCTGCGACTGTGACAGAGTCACTGGGCCTTGTCCATGCTGGGGAGGAGCCTTCCTTTTGGGGGTGACCGCATTCATCTGGGCATGCCTTCAGTACTCTGGGCCCATGGATCTGAAGGAGAAGCACACGGTAGGCCGTTTGGTGCCCTGCTGGGTATTGTCTGTGTGGCTGTGTTGGACTCTCTACTTGTGTTGGCCTGGGAGGTCCTCTTTTGGGGGGCTTTAAACCAAAAGTGAGAGAGGGGGTATGGCTCTGAAGATGGGGGTACGGGATGGCGACCCCCCCCGAGAGGGTGCTATTGCTGGGCTGGGAAGCTCTCGGGGAGCTGGGAGCACAGGACAAAGGGTGGGGACCGGTGAGCACAGCGGCATGGGAGCAGGTTTCTGATTTGGGTTGGCTCCGAGCCAGTCTTCCACGTCTTGCCCAGGGGTGTGTAATTTTGTTTGTTTGCTCTTTGCTAGGGCTCTGCCCCAACCTGCTGAGCCATGTTGAGTATGGTCGGGCACCCTCTCTCTGGTTAGGGAAGAGCTCCCCAGTCAGACTCCAAACACAGCTGCATAACCAGCTGGAGGTGAGGAGCCAGGAGGCCCAGGCACCCGCAAGGTCGGCCCCCTCCTCCCAGCCTGAAACAGGTACGCCTCCCAGCCTCCAGGTACACTGCCCTCACCTGGCAGTCGATTTGGTGGCATCAGAGTATCCTTCCTGTGATGGAGACTGCCCCAGAGGGGGTCTTTCCATCTCTTGGCTGGACTTCTGCCACAGCTTCCTATGGGTCCCTCTGTCTCTGATCTCCTTTCTCCACTTGCTGTCAGAGAAAGGTATCCGAAATGCAGAGCTGACCTTTTGTCACCTCTGCTTAAAAGTCACCAGTGGCTGGCTCCGTTCCACCTGCTGAAAAGTTGAGTGTGGCAGGCGAAGCTCACCATCATCCTGCTGCTGCCTGTTGGCCCCACGTCCCTAGCCTCCCCCGCCTTGGCCTTTGGCACTAGTCATTCTGAACGCTTCAGAATTTGGGCACACACTGTCCACATTTAGGCTCCTACTTTTTTCCTGACAAACTCCTCCTATTCTTTCTTCACGAGCCATCACCTTCTCCTGATAAGCCCTCTTCCCCCCTCCAGACGTCCCTCCTTCCAGCATTCATAGTATCTCCGCCACTGTGCCTGCCACCTGTATTGAGCTAATCTATCTGTCCCACCTCCTCCCAGTGTCCCTGGCTCCTAGCATAGAGCCTGGCATGCAGCAAGGGCTCAGTAAGTATTTATCAATCTGAACTTATAGACAGCGACCTTCCTGCCAAAGAGATCTTGGAAGGTCTGGAGAGGGAGCTGTAACGCTGGGTCCCTGGGGGTGCGTGGCTGCCTACTGACTCGTTCAGCTCCAGGCTTCCCGTGCCTCTGGGGGAAGCTGTGGAACAGGCTTGGAGGCCTGAACCTGAAGCAGGTGTGTGTGGCCTCCTGTTCACAGGTACCTCTGACCGCTCTGCAGGTGTCCATCCTATGAGTGATTGGCGCAGAGGGGACCAGCCATATTGACTTCTCCCCTAACCTGGGTGCAAGGCTCTTGCGTCCAATTACAAGAGCTGTTCACTTCCGGGGGGCACCCTCTAGAGGCTTTGCTATTGTGTGATGTGGTGTCCTACCTGGGTGAGGCTGAGTGTCTCAAAAACAGGACAGTATTGTCCCTGGTTCCAGCCTGTTGCCGAAACACCACTTCCTAGTGAGTTGGGAAAGTATAGTTCTGTGAGCCAGTGGGCTGGCTTCTCTCTCAAGCCTGAGGAGGAACGCTTGAGAGCCCAGGATGGATAGCTCTCAGGAGCCATTTTTCCTACAGGATTTTTCCTTATCCTCTTTGGATTTCTGGAGAGATGAGTCCTGAACTAGAAATATCATCAGCCATATTCATGGAATACCTCCTTGGGGTTGGTGGAGCTCTGGGCCCTGGGGAGGTCGCCCCCGGCTTGGAGAGGCTTATAGTCCAGCTGAGGAACTAGTTGTACAAGCAACTAAGAAATAGAACCAGACAGGGTTTTTACTGGAAATGGCTTGTGAGCTTACGGGGTCTCTCCCTTCTTTCTTTACTGGAAATGGCTTCTTTTCACATGGGCTTCTAAAGATTACCCCGGTGGCGTCCAACAGTCGGGGCTTCTTGGAGGCGTGGGAAGGAAGAGAGCTGGGTGGCGGAAGTTGATTGAAAGGGGCCTGTCGTCCCCTGGCTATAGCCCAGGAGCAGCGTGGCTGTTGCTGGTTGCTTTTCTGCTCCCCACCCCCCCCATCGTGACCTTCCAGTCCTCCATGTCCCTGTCAGAACCTCCTCTCCTCTGTCCCCGGTCCCCTGTGGCGGACGAGCTGTAGCAGTGAGCGTCTGGGCTTCTGTTTCTTGGGTGCAGTGCTCCCTTTTTTCCTTGCTGAGGTGGGCAGTGTAGGAAGGGGGCAGGATGGGAGTCTTGCAGAGCCCTTAGACCCTGCGAGCTATTCTTTTCAGGGCCTGTCACGCAGGAGGGAGAGTTTGCTTAGTTGTGGCGCCCACAGAGCAGGGCCTTGGTAGAAAGCTAAGGGGAAGCGTGCCTGGGAGCAGGGGCAAGGAGGATGCCAGTCTCTCCTTGGCAGTTTGCTAAGGCTGCAGCCCACTGCACAGCTGACCCCTCATCCCCCTGGCCTGCACCTCAGGGAACCTCCTGCCCTTAACCTCTGGACTGCCTGGCCTCTCTTTTCCTGCTCCCATTCAGATCTGGATTTGGCAGAGGTGGGGCGGGGGGCCAGGAAGCTGTGCTAGAGAAGGGGGCGAGGAGAGACTGGCTCGAACTCAGCTGAGGCTTTCTCTTCGCCTCCCTGCAGCTGGTGATGGTGGAGACGGTGGAAATGGTGTTGTGGGTGTTGTCTGGGAAGCAGGGCCCTGGAGAAAAGTGCTCAGGCTCCAGCCTGCGTTCTCTAGTTCTTGGACCTGTTGGGCTGCTTCCTCTCCCTTGGGGTTTTGCAGCCCCTTCCTAAGGGTGGCCTGGATACAGGCCGAGAAGTTTCCAGTCTACTCCCAGGGCCGCCTGTGTGTCAAATTCAGGGTCCCAGAGTGATGCGCAGGCTCTACTTGCTGCTCCTGGAGCCACAGGTCACTGGGTGGGAATCAAGGCCTCGTGTCCGCAGGGCTCTCCTGTCCCAGAAGCTCTTTGGCAGGTGTGTCTAAATGTGTCTGCGCGTTTATCAGCTGCTGGCTGAGCTCTGCTGTTGGGGGTGCTCCCCCCCCCCGCAACCTGGTGGGAAGGTGTTAGGTCTTAGGTATTGGAATCCTCAGAAGCCCTTCCTGTCTGTGGTCTCTTCCCCCTTCTGCTGGAGTCATCCACTGGATTCTTCCACTGGCTTCTGGCCCCCTGCTCTGCCTCCTAGAAGTCACTGCTCCAGGCTTCTCAGTTGCCAGTCCTCCCCCCTTCCATGCTGGATGTGCTGCTATTAATAACGGGCAAGTCCCCCCTCCCCTCCGTCCTGTAGCCACAAGTGTGGGAAGAGCTGCTATTGGCGTGGCTCCATACTGGGAGTCTCTGAGGGATTTCAGGGAACTCTCACGGATGGCGGGCACCTACCTTGCCCAGTGACTTGGGCCCAAGGAGGGGTGGTCTGGGGAGAGAGCCCAGGTAGCCCTGGGTGCCATGGTTGCCCTCGGGCTCCCACAGCCACCTCCAGCACAGTCTCCTCGTCCCCATGCGCGCACACCTGGCTGGCTGCGGGCACCCGTCCGCTCACCCCTCGGTGGCCTCTGATGAATGGGCCAAGCTCCTGGGCATCTGGCAGAGCATCTACAAACTTTCTCCTCCCTCCCTCTCGCCTGCCTCTCCCTCCCTCCCACAGCCCTGTTGCTGCACTGCCTCCTCCTCCCTCCCTAAATCTGCAGCGTGACTGGAAATAGGCTGAATTAATCAGCAGACTGAAGCTCCACTCTGCACGGATCCTCTGCGGCACCGCTCCGGCTCCTCGCTCCCACGCTCCCTGGCCCACTCCCCTCTTTTTCTCTCCTCTCTCTCTCTTTCTCCCCCCCCCCCCCGCCCCGTTCCTGCTTCTTCTCCTCTCTCCTTGAGGGTGGTGTTGGAAGTTCTGTAGTTGACTCCTTGTGGCTCAGGCTCTACCCCATGCTCTTTAAGCAGACAGAGCTATGGATGTCCCATCAGGGCAAATGCACCAAAGTGAGTATGCTAACTTGGTTTTATATTTCTGTTACAAATGCCTTGTTCTCTGCTCTGTGTGCAAGGCTTTGGCTTAGCAATTGCCACAAGTCTTGAAGATGGGTGCTGAACCGGGGGCAGCTCAGATTATGAGGTAGCTAGGACTGAAGAAGGAGGCTGAGAATGGGAACATGATGCCTGTGTGTCTAGGGAGCTGCCAGCCAGGCTCCCAAGTCACCCAGAGCAGGACTGGAGCTGCGTGTCCCAGTGGGGCATCCTGTCGAGTTACGCTGGGACCTGGGTCTCCATGCACAGGTGATGGGAAGCCCCGGATCTGGATATCAGCCCTCCTCGGGGCCAGGCAGGGGGCTCTTTTTTGCTGGACCACATGGGTCATTGAGATAGGAGCAGCCAGGACCAGGCTGATTTCTTCCTCAATCTGGGTAGCTGCAAGAGGAAGAAGATGGGTGGAAGTGCTAAGGTCAGCCTGAGCCTGGAAGACGAAGAAGCTTGAGGCTTTGATTTGCCTGGCTGAAGACAAGATTTGTGTCTGGCCAAGCTCAGAAGAGATTTATCATGGCTACTACAAAAGACCCAGCTTCAGTGACTTAGGCATTATGTTGGAGTCCATCTTTGGGTCCCCTCCCCAACTGCACTGGCCCAGAAAGCTGTGATGGTGGGGACCTGGTCCAGGGGCCAGCCAGTTCTTTTTTTTAAAAAAATATTTTATTTATTTGCTTGAGAGAGAGAGTGAGTGCGTGCATGAGAGCACACAGAGGCAGAGGGAGAAGCAGACTCACTGCTGAGCAGGGAGCCAGACGTGGGGCTCGATCGCAGGACCCCGGGATCATGACCCGAACCGAAGGCAGACGCTTCACTGACAGGCACCCAGGCGCCCCGGGGCCAGCCAGTTCTAATTAGCTCTCTGCTGTTGTCAAGGCTGAGGGTCACGGTCTAAATTCGTAACCTATCTACCTGAGCCTATGGGACCTGCATTCTGCTCCCAAAATAGGTGAAGTGGGAAGGAAAACAGCGGCCGTGGGGACAGAGCCCGTGAGGAGTCCTGAAAGGACCAGGGCTGGGGGCCAGGGGCTCTTGGCTCTGGGCCACCTGGGTAACCTGACCAAGGGGGTGCAAGAGAGTTCACAGGTGTTGGCTCTGGGAGACTCATTAGACTGCCCCAGATGCTCAGCATCAGGCCCCACAGAACTGGTCCTGTTCAGTAGCGGAGTTTTTGCAGTTCTGATTGGACAGATAGAGTTCTTTCCCCACCTTTCTGCTCGTCTAAATCCCCATGCCCTCTCAGTGTCCCCCTTTTTGAAAAAAAAAAAAAAAGAATTAATTTATTTGAGAGAGAGAGAGAGAGACAGAGAAAGAGAGGAGAGGGCAGGGGGCCGGGGTGGTGAGAAGCAGAGGGAGAGGGACAAGCAGACTCCACGCTGAGCGTGGAGCCCATCACAGGGCTCAGTCCCATGACCCTGAGATCATGACCTGAGCCGAAATCAAGATTGGATGCTTAACTGACTGAGCCACCCAGGTGCCCCCCAGCCCCCACCCCAGGGTGGAGAAGCCCAGCTCTTGATGGGCATTTGTGGCCAGCATCTCCTGAGCGTGGCCTTCCTAGAGCCTCAAGTTACTTTGTTGGGTCCAGTTGAGCCTGAGCATTTAAAGCAGCGGGGATGGGGTTGCTTTCACCTGCAAAGCATTGGTGTAAGTGGAGAGGCAGGCTCCTGTCCCCCCTGTGGTGTAGAGTTCTCTTTTGGCCATCACTCCTCTCCCCAGGAATATCCTGGGAGGTGTCTGGCAGTGGGGTGGGGTGGGAGATTTTGAACATCTGGGAAACAGGAAGAATCTCTTACTCCCTCTGGGTACTTAAGGCTGGGACAGTTTTTCTCACCCTTCTTGGCCCCAGAGGCAAGAAAAGGACACCTTCAGATGGCATGTGTATGAGTTGGGTCCTTATTTCTCAAACCAACCATATGCATCCTTGCACTGTCTCCCCATGGGTGCCCAGCCTAACTTGTATTTTGAGAAAGGCTGGCAGAGCCTGCTCGCCCAGGGCCCTTTCTTAATTTCCTTTGAAAATGCTAAAGTTCCACCAAGTTCCTCAACTTTGGCTCTTACCTTGCAGGGTGGGGAAACACAATGAGAGAAACAGTGATTTTACCGGTAACTGAGACTCTCCTGCTGGAGACAGGGTGAGGTGTTGTTCTTCCGTGTCACTGAGGGGCCGAGGCAGTTGGAGAAGTGTGGTTGGGGCCTTGGAGAGTGGGCTGGCCCAGAAGCCTGTGTCCTTGCCCCAGGGCCTACCTGTCCGGGCAGGCACTTTCTCCAGGAGGCGTGTGATTACTGAGTGGCTATTTTCCCTCTGCTAGGCTGTCTTTAATCGCCAGTCTGGAGTTGGTGTTCCTGGCCAGACACAACATGCGTGGGCAGACGCACACAGTCAGCTCGGCAGGGCTCCTCTGGCCCTGCCCCAGGAGCATGTGCCCCCTCTGGCCCATACCTCCCACACCTGGAGAGCAGCAGCGTGCAGGTGCTAGGAACCTGGGTGCAGAGAGAGAGAGTAAATCCATTTCTGGGTTGTGGAAGGGGGGCACCTGGAATGAGGCGGCGGATGTCAGGGCGGCCACAGGAGAAGAGGAGGGGAGTTGCTGATGTCCAAAGTCCGAAGGCCTGGCTGGGGGTGTGGGGGGTCCCCTGGTTCCCTGGCTGCCCCCTGAGCCTTTGCCTGCCTTCTGAGCATGGTCCTCATCCCAGACCCGGCAGCTTCCCACTGACCTGCAGCCCCTGGGATTTACCCTCCCTTTCTCCTGCCCAATCCCCATCTCTTGTCTCTTTGGCGGGCAGCCTTTCCACCACTGCACGCCAGCCTTTCCCTGCCTCCAGGACATTTTCACACTGCAGTGTTTCCGGAGGCCTGGCCCAGGCAAGTGCATCTTGGGAAGCTTCACCTCTTCCCCTGCGGAGAGAGAGCTCACAAAGTGGAGCCTGAGGGAGAAGGGGGCAGCGGGGAGGGGCAATATGGGAGGCCCCGTACACAGTGGCCGTGCTTTCCAAATCCTCTTCTTTCCTGGGTTGGGTGGAACAGGCGTCACCCCCTGGGCCAGCCCCTTAGACGCGAGAAGACCTCTGGTCCCCTTCTTCTTTCTTCCTCCCGCCACGCAGGAGACTTTCTCCCCTTCCATGCCAGGAGTCAGGGAGGCAGACGTACAGACCTGAGCTTACCTGATACTCATCTGTCCTGGACCACAGCTCCTCAGGAAGCCCCCAGGATCTCTGCCAGAGGGACGTAGATGCTCTGGAGTAGAGTATTTACCCATACTGGGGTGTGGGCCCTCTGCCCAGAGGGCCATATCTTCCTGAGCTGAAATAACCAGTTATCCCCTCTGGGGAGAAGCAGCTCTTATCTTCATAATCCCCCAAAGGCAGCATGGAGAGCAGGGATTAGGGGAGATTTAGGCAAGGGATCTGGGAAGTCTTGGGGCCAGGCTCACTCTGGAGCCCATCCTCATCCCTCAGGCCAAAAAAGCTGGTAATGGGCCAGTGTGGGGGCTCCACTCAGGTGCATCCTCCCGGGGTGGGTCTTGCTGGGGTACTGCCCCCAAGCAGCAGCCCCTTCTAGTCTTGGAGATGTGTGTCCTGTGAGGGGCAGGCCTGCCAAGGAGAGCGGTGGCTATGGGGACAGGCACGGAGGAGGAAGTCTGGAATGTCAGTGGGCAAAGCCAGGGCAGACCCCAGGGAAGGCAGAGGGGGAGCAGGGGCGGGCCATGAGCTGAGGTAGTCAGGGAGTCACCAGCTTAGCCACCCTTGGTCAGGACTCAGTAGATAACCCCAGCCCCTTTCTTAGGGCCTCAAGTCTAGGGCTTTGCTCCTCTTGCTCAGGAACCTTTACTGGTGGGAGCTCACATTGGTGCTCTTGGGAAAGACCCAGTTCTCCGCCAGCATTCCTTTCCCAGGGGTGTTCTTTTTCCCAGGACCCCTGACCTGGGGATCTGTGCATCAGATTCAATGTGTGCATTGGCTTCACCTTCAGAAGTTTTGATTCGGTAGGTTTGGGGTGGGACCTGGACATCCACGTTTTTAGAAGCCCCAGGTATTTCTACTACAGACCCCGGGTGGACAACCCCTGATTAATGTGTCACTGGGGTCACTGGAGCTATGTGTGCACTCATTCTTCCATTCATCCAGCTGGTGGCCGTGGGGCCGCTGCTGTGTGCCCGGCACTGTCTCGGCAGGTAGTTGGAGGGATGTGGAGAGGGAAGAATTCAGTACCTGTTTTCAAGGAACTGGCAGTCTGGTGGGAGAGCCTGATGAGTCAATCTATAATGACAGTTCTCCACAATGCAGGCCGGGGGCCAGCTTGCCCAGGGTGCTCTTGGAATACAAACCTCTCCCCGTAAGTGCAGTCCTTGGCTTTGGGAAAATTTCCCAGAGCAGGTGACGTTTGAGCTGAGGCTTGAAGGGGAAGAGAAAGGTGTCTGGGGCCAGGAGTGTGTGTCCAGGGAGGGAAAGTACATAGATAGAGGTACTTGCACCCGAGCTGGAAAGCACGGCTTGCATCAGGAATGGAGGAAACGCGGGCGAGGAGGCTGGAGAAGCTGGTGGATCACAGGTCCTGCTCCGGAGTCTGGGCTCGATTGGAAAGATAAACAGGGGTCAGTTGAGGCAATGTGCGCTGCTCTGGCTGGATGTTGCAGTTGGCTTGGAAGAGGGGGACGCTGAGGAGTGGGGTGGGGGGGGTGGTCACTGCAGGAGCGGGGCTGTCCAGCCGGGAGGGCCACGCTCCAGGGTTTGGGTTGAATCCACTTCTAGGGGCCCATGAAACAGCAGTGCAGCCGTTGAGTAAACAGGTCAGCATTCAGGGCTGTGCCTGGAGGTAAACTTCAGGAGTTGGAAGCTTGGTGGTGTGGTGGGAGACTCCACGATGGTGGCCAAGGTTGTCTTGGAAACGTACGTGAATTTGTTAAGATATCCTTGGGTTGGGCTGTGTGGTGGATGGAGGGGAAAGAAGAGCGAGTCAGAGAAGGAGAAGACAGGGGTGAAGCCCAGGAGTGGGGCTGTCAGTGAGGAGAGGCCAGGCCGGGCTCACACAGGACAGCATGGGTGGTCCCTAGTGCTGCCCAGGACCACCCCGTCTATGCCCTTTCCGCCACCCTCGGTGACAGAAGGCGGCGTCACAAGCCTTTCCCTGGGAGCAGTTGTCCCTTGTCTGAGGTTGTGTCCTTCCTGACGCCAGAGTGTGACGATATGCTGCCTTCCGTGAAATGGTGGAAACAGTATTTGGTGGGTTTTTTCTTAATGCTTTTACCTAGGAACAATGAAGAGCTAGGGTCTCCTTGTTAGTTCCCCTTTCCCCACTTAAAAAACAACAACAACAAAAAAAAACCCACTATTTTTCGGCTCCTGAAATACACAGATGGCAGCAGAGGTCGATGGGGAGGTGAGGGGCGAGAGCCGTGCGCGGGGCCGGGAGATGCCGATGGCCTTGGAAGGTGGGTTAGGAAACACTGAGTGGAGAAAGTTGCGTGTGTTTCTGTTTTTAACTTGGCCTTGAGGAGTAGGGGACTTTTAACGTGGTGGAGATTTGCGCAAACACCCTGAGGGCTGGGGGGCTGGTGGAGGAAGAGGAGGGAGGATTCAGGGGGAGGGATGACGAGGGCCTGCGGCCTGCCATGGAGTGCCCTGGGGCCTCCGGGGCGATGCTGAATGCTGCCTGCTTCGCCTGCTTCCTCCAGGGCGAGCCACCCTTGGCCCTGGGCCTGTCTACCCGGAAGGCCCTCGGCATCCTGAAGGAGCAGCTGGAGACGGTGCTGGAGGGACACCTGAAAGAACGGAAGAAATGTCTCACGTGGAAGGTGAAGCGTCTTCCCGGGGAAGCCGGAGCCGAGGTGGGATGGCAGAGGGGCGTGGGAGGCCCAGGCTCAGGCCCGGGAGCCAGTGCTCATGCTGGGCGGCGTGGCCCGACTGAAGCCTCGCTACAACTCAGAAGGAAGCCGGGGCTGCCTGGCAGAGTGCTGTCCTGACCCCACTTGATGCAGGAGCCCAAGCGGTTGGACCCCAGCCGAGACCAAAGCCAGGAGAGCGAGGCAGCCCCAGGCCGGGTCAGGCGGGCGGGCGTGGGAGCAGGGCGGCCAGATTCTAGCAGGATGCTGCCTCCTGGCTCCTTCGCCGGGCCCCTCACTCCCCGCTGCCCCTCCTCAGGAGCTGTGGAGAAGCAGCTTCCTGCACCACAGTAACCGCTGTTCCTGCTTCCACTGGCCTGGAGCCTCGCTCATGCTGCTGGCTGTGCTGCTTCTGCTGGGCTGTCATGGGAGCCAGCCGGAGGGCAGGTAACCTTCCCTCCCCCGCCTCTCACCCGGGGACCCCCCCCCCCAGCGGCGCTCCCCCGCCCCCCTCCACCAGTCTCAGCCGGCCTTGTTAGGAGCCCTCGGTCCCTTGGCTGGCTGCTGTCAGCCCCCGAACGAGACACTCCTTTCAGAAGGGACTGGGGTGGGAGGTCTCGGATTGGCTGGGTGGGGGATCCCCTCTCCTTGCTAGTACCCCCTCACCTCTTCCCACCAGCCATGGGGTGGAGCTGGTGAATGCCTCAGCACTGTTCCTCTTGCTGCTTCTCAACCTCATCCTCATCGGGCGGCAAGATCGGCTAAAGCGTAGGGAGGTAGAGCGGAGGCTCCGAGGGATCATTGACCAAATCCAAGGTGAGGCCGAGGGTCAGGCATGCTGGGTGGGAAAGGGTGCCCTGTGATGTGTCAGCCCTACGAGCTCTTCTCCTGAGGCCCCACCAGGAGCCCAGCACAGTGGCGTTGCCTACGGTCAGCATTCTGGGGGCTCTTGGCATCAGGAGAGTTAGAAGGCTGCCCTGCCCTCTTTTGAGCAGGACAGTGAGAGCCAGGCACACGCAGGCAGTGGCCTCAGCATGGCCTGCAGGGAGGCTGATGGCGGCCCGGTCGGCTTGCAGGCTTGCTAACCATGGGAGACTAACAGAGAAGACCCTCTCTTGGCAGGAGGACAGTTGAGGTTTTCTCTTCCAAGTCTGTCTTGTCTGGCGGTACTGGGCCAGGGCAGGTAGAAAGATGGGCCAGGGAAGTCTAAGACCTGCAAGAGGCAGGGTTGGGGGCCCAGAGCTGGGAGCCCAAAACGGAGCAGCCCTGTTCCTAAAGAAGGGAGTTGCTCCGTCCCATTTCTGCTCGTTCTTTCATTCAGATAGTGTTTGTTAAGCCCCAGCTATGGATTGGGAATATTAGGCTCTTCTGAGAGACAGTGGTTCCCGCTTTCCAAGGGCCTGTGGTCTTGTATGAAACACCTAGTGTCTGAAACCTCTCTCGAACCTGACCAGGCAGCGGACGTTTGAATGCTAAGTGAGAAGGGGTTGCTTCATTCTGAAGTGATCAGTTAGTTGCAGCCACGTGCCAGGCGTGGGAAGTACAACAGTGATCGAGAAGGATGGGCCCTGCTCCCCGAGAGCTTAGTCTCTTGCTCAGGAACCATCGGTGGCTCCCTCTTGCTTATCAAAGCTGCCCAGAACCTCTGGGCCAGGCTCCAGCCTCCCTCTCCGGACTCTTCTCTTACTGTCACTGTCACCCGAAAGCCCCTCCCCAGTGGCAAGCCCGCCACGGGCCTCCCTGCTTCTGTGCCCTTGTCCTGCTGTCCGTCTGCCCGGCGTGCTCCTCCCTCACTGGGCTCCAGCTGACAGATCTGGCCCATCCTTCAAGACCCATCTTAAACTTAGCTCCCTTTTCCCTGAAGCTGCCTCTGATCGCATCGGCTCCCCTGAGCTCCTGCAGCTAATTTGGGATATTTCCTAATGCCCTGAGCACGCGTTTGCCTTGATTTGTGTTATCTGCCCACATACATCTCTCTTTTCAGTTGCGGCTCCTCCTCGAGGGCAGGGACTTGTGTCATCTTCACCTTTGACCTTTGCATCCCTCAAAGCCCTCAGCAATGCTTGTGAAATGTATTTGAATGGAGTAAGGGTACAAAGAATAAGAGCTTCAGGTGTTCAGAGGGGTAGAAGGGCCTGGGCTGGAGTGGTGGGAGAGGCTTCACAGGGGAAGTGACCTTGAGAGAGGGGTAGTGTTGGAACGGGTGGTGTGGGCCACTGCAAGCCTTCTGGGAAAGGAGCGCAGGCAGAGCTCCACGGCGTGTGCTGGGTGGCTGACGTACGGAGCTGTGGGTGAGGTGGTTTCCTTCCTTCCGTTCTCCTCAGATGCACTCAGGGATGGCAAGGAGATCAAGTGGCCAGATGCCATGTACCCAGACCTCCACATGCCCTTTGCACCATCCTGGTCCCTGCACTGGGCCTACAGAGATGGACATCTGGTCAACCTGCCAGTTGGCCTATTGGTAGAAGGAGACATCATAGCTCTGAGGCCCGGCCAGGAATCGTTCGCCTCTCTGAGGGGGATCAAGGTAGCTCGAGGCTTTTCTTCTTCCCTGGAAATGCTGTGGGAGCATCTACAGGCAATGGTGGGAGGGTCCCAGGGCTTAATCCTGAAGCTTCCTGGCTGGCTCACAGGCTTCCTGGCAAGGGCTCTGGAAGAATAGAGAAGAGCTGGGGCGCCTGGGTGGCTCAGTCGGTTAAGCGTCTGCCTTCGGCTCAGGTCATGGTCCTGGGGTCCTGGGATCGAGGCCCGCATCGGGCTCCCTGCTCGGCGGGAAGCCTGCTTCTCCCTCTCCCGCTCCCCCCGCTTGTGTTCCCTCTCTCGCTGTGTCTCTCTCTGTCAAAAATAAATAAGATCTTAAAAAAAAAAAAAAAAAAAGACTAGAGAAGAGCTGGAACATCTTTCTCCTTCTTGTCCCGTTCTTTCTTTTCTCTGACCCTTAAGCTGCTAGGAATCCAGTTCTACAGCCCCCCGCCCCCCCCGCCCCCCGCAGCTGACTCTTTGCTAACCGATGGTCCCTAACCCAGTGAGGTGTCTCCACTTAGCTGGAATTGTCAAGGAAGAGTGGCTTCTGATTGAACCAGTGCCCTCCTTGCCCTCCTCCCCTGACTCTCCGGCAGGATGATGAGCACATCGTCTTGGAGCCCGGAGACCTGTTTCCCCCTTTCTCTCCACCACCTTCCCCCCGGGGAGAAGTGAAGAAGGGACCACAGAACCCCCAGCAGCACCGGCTCTTCCGTGTTCTTGAGACCCCTGTGATTGACAACATCAGGTCGGCTTGCTGCCCTGCCTTCCGTCTGGCCCCTGAGTTCTCTCCCCTGGTGCCTTCGGGAGCAGGGGGCAGGGTGACAAGGAGAGAGCCTGGTTTATACTGAGCCCCCCTTGGGGTGGGCACCTCTGTGGATTCTTTAACGTCTTACAAGAATTCCTAGCCTGGGTGATTGTTCCTCCCCCGTTGGAACTCTGAGGGGACAGCTCTGGAGGCTGCCCCAGACCCCTCTCCCAGGGGGCCCCTCGGGGCCAGGGAACAGGAACATGGCCTGACTCAGTGATGCCCAGTGCAGGTGGGTGTTTCCGGCCTCTCCCCCGAGGGCTTGCCCAACTAAAGGGTCATCCCTTTCTGCAGATGGTGCCTGGACATGGCCCTGTCCCGCCCAGTCACCGCTCTGGACAACGAGAGGTTCACGGTGCAGTCGGTGATGTTGCACTACGCTGTGCCTGTGGTCTTGGTGCGTGAGGCGGGCCTCACAGGGCAGGGGAGAGGGCCAGGAAACGGGGGGGGCCTCAGGGCCAGATTCGGGGAAGCATGTGAGTGAAGACGGGGGGACCCAGAGTGAGACGGCCAGTGCTGGGGCTGGGGAGGATATGAGTGGGCAGAGGAAGGGAAGCCTTAGAGCCTGGGTCCCTCTCTGGGTGGGGGACTAAGGCTGCACTTCTGCTGTTCCCCAAAGGCCGGCTTCCTCATCACCAATGCCCTGCGCTTCATGCTGAATGCCCCTGGTGTCACCTCCTGGCAGTACACCCTCCTCCAGCTGCAGGTAACCCCCACCCTTTCCCCTCTGTGATACTTTGCTCTTTCCTTGGAGGCTGGGTCCCTTCATGGTGCCCTGGCTGTCCCTGCCTCTCTGTAGCCCAGGGGTCCCTCCGGCTTCAGCTTAAGAATGCCTGCTCCCCTTTCCTTCCTGCCCTGGACAGCTGTCACTTTCTACTCAGGGAATGGCTTCAGGGCTGGGGAAGGCCTTCCGTCCCTCCCTCTTTCCAGACCAGCGGCTCTTTGGGAGCCTTCAGTGCGGTTTGTGCTTCCCCAGGTGAATGGTGTCCTGCCCATCCTCCCCCTGCTCTTTCCAGTCCTCTGGGTTCTGGCAACCGCCTGTGGAGAAGCTCGAGTCCTGGCTCAGATGAGCAAGGCCTCTCCCAGCTCCCTGGTAGGTTGTTCCAAGGCATCTTGGTGACGGTACAAAAAGAACACAATTCGGGAGCAAAAAGAGGGTGTCTGCTGTGCCCCAGCGAACAGGTGCCGAGGTCCAGCCCCACTATGGGCCCCGTGCACGGGCAGGCCCTGAGCAGCTCTCCGTGTGAAAGAGCCTCCAGGCCAGGCCCTGGGAGGCGGGGGGCCGTCCATCCTGGCACTCAGCAGACGGGATTCGGGGACTGCCCAGGTGTCCTTTACGAAAGGCGTCGGGAGCCTTGCTGCTGTGGGGCCCCCACCCTTGCAGCTTGGAGGCCTGTGTGAGGGCGCCTCCCTGAGCTGGTGCCCCCTCTCCATGCAGCTAGCCAAGTTCTCAGAGGATACTCTCAGCAGCTACACAGAAGCCGTCTCCTCTCAGGTACACTCACCTGGAACGCCTTCTGCCCCAGGCCCCTGTGGCCACCAACCTGAGCTCCCTCAAGCTGGCCCCTTCCAGAACCCTGGGAAGATGGGTAGTACTCCCATAAAGTACTCCCCTACTTTATGGCCTTGGAGCCTCCTGTCTCGTGGGGGCAGTGCGCTCTGCCCAAACAAATGCCTCTCCACCCCAACTTCCTGGTGTCCCTGGACTGTTTCCTCTGCTGGCCCCGGAGGCTATCTCTAGGGAAATAACACGGACTTTGTCTCTCCCCCCAGGAAATGCTGCGCTGCATCTGGGGCCACTTCCTGCGGGTGATCCAAGGGACATCGCCGACCCTGAGCCGTAGCTCCAGCCTACTGCACAGCTTGGGCTCGGTCACGGTGAGGGCAGGCCCTGTGGGGGGACCCCGCCTCCGCTGGCCTGCTGCCTGGCTGTGTCCGGGTGCCTGCCCGCCACTTACGTGGACCCTGACAGGTTGGGGAATGCCAAGCCCCCCCTTCCCCAATCCCCATCTCTCTCTGCAGGTCCTGTGCTGTGTGGACAAACAGGGGATCCTGTCATGGCCAAACCCCAGCCCGGAGACTGTGCTGTTCTTCAGTGGGAAGGTGGAGCCCCCGCACAGTAGCCATGAGGACCTAACGGATGACCTGTCCACCCGCTCCTTCTGCCATCCCGAGGTAGAGGAGGAGGTATGGCCGGCTCCTGGGGACCCAGCTCTGGGCCCGGCCAGTGGCCTCAGGGAGGGCGAGGCTTGGAGGGAGAGGGAAGGCTCGAGCACCATTAGGATCTGCTTCTGGGCCGTTCAGGCAGAGCCTTCTCCCCAGACAATGAGGGGACATAACTCCCTGCCTCCCTGGTCCATGGCAGCCAGCGGGACCCTGGTCCGAGGCCTGTGCTCCTTGTTCTCCTCAGCCCCACGAACGAGATGCCCTCCTGGCCGGTTCCCTGAACACTACCCTGCACCTTTCCAATGAGCAGGAACGTGGCGACTGGCCGGGTGACGGTCCCAAGCCCCCTGAATTCTACTGTCACCACAAAGCATATGGCCGCAGCAAACACCCATCCGGCTCCAACGTGAGCTTCAGCCGGGACACGGAGGGCGGTGAAGAAGAGCCTGGCAAGGTGAGAGGAGTGCAGAGAGCAGCCTCGGGGTGTCCTGGCCTCCCCGCTGAAGGGGCCAAGGGGTGCAGCCCGTCCTGGATGGATGGAGCCAAAGGCACAGATGTGGCAGCCTCCGTGCTCAGGCCTCCAGGCTTGGCCAGGCAGGACGGCCTCCTGAGGCCTAATCCAGGGCCTGGGGCCCTTTCAGGAAGGCGCCCTTTCCCCTTCTCTGGGTCTTACAGATGGTGACTGGTTGGGGCAAGGCCCTTCCTTCTGGTCACAACCTTCTGAAGACAGAAGACTGACAGCTCCCCCTGGCAGAAAGAGATCCTCCACTGTTTCCTCCCTGCTCTGGGTGTCCTCTTCTTAGGCACTGCCATTGTTGAGCAGAGCTCCCAGAAGCAGCCAGAAGGCCAGCAAGGATGGGGAGAGGGTTTCTGGGAGGGATGGGAAGAGCGTGGGCGCGAGCCTGCTCGCTGGGAAGGGGGTGCCTTCTCCCCGGCTGAGGCTCCCCTCTCTCTTCCCCATTCCCCTGCGCCCCAGCCCGGGCTGGAGGGCGAGCCCTACGAAGCAGAGGACTTTGTGTGTGACTACCACTTGGAGATGCTGAGCCTGTCCCAGGACCAGCAGAACCCCTCCTGCATCCAGTTCGACGACTCCAATTGGCAGCTGCACCTCACGTCCCTGAAGCCACTGGGTCTCAACGTGCTGCTGAACCTGTGTAACACCGGTGTCACCGAGCGGCTGTGCCGCTTCTCCGACCACTTGTGCAACATCGCCCTGCAGGAGAGCCACAGCGCCGTCCTGCCCGTGCACGTGCCCTGGGGCCTCTGCGAGCTCGCCCGCCTCATAGGTGCGTTGGCCCGGGCCTTCGCCAGGAGCCCCGGCAGCTCCTGCCCACCCCCTGGAACCAGGCGCCGCTTGACAGTGCTTCCTAGTCTGGGAAAATAACCAGGGGCGCGGTGAAAGGGGGAAAGAACTGGCCCAGCCTCACGGGGCTTCTCTCCCTGCGAGGGAGGGAGGTGCAGGTGCTCCCAGGCACCCCAAGTTGCCGTCCCTCCCCCCGCAGGCTTCACTCCTGGGGCCAAGGAGCTCTTCAAGCAGGAGAACCATCTTGCGCTCTACCGCCTCCCCAGTGCCGAGATGGTGAAGGAGACCTCGCTGGGGAGGCTCTCCTGTGTCACCAAGCGGCGCCCTCCGCTCAGCCATATGATCAGTCTGTTCATCAAGGACACCACTACCAGTGAGCCTTCCAGGCTTGGCCAGCATCAGGCCAGACCCTCCTGGAGCTTGGCAGGGCGGGGCTTCTTTTAGGCGTCCCTTTTTAGGGGGGACCTGGGCAGATGCGCACTAGACTGCTTCTGGAATCTTCCTCAGAAGTGGAAGGGATTGGATTTGGGAGCTGGTGCTGGGACGGTGGCCACAGGGGTTGGGGACTGTCTGCAGGGTTGCAAGCCCACACAGGCCTGGGGAGTTCTACTCCCCAGGGGCTCCCTAGCACCCTTTTCAAGGATGGCAGGGTGTTACCTGAGGCGGGAGTGAGAGGCGGCAGTGGCCTGGGGTACTCATGATTCGGCCTCGTCCTCCCCGCCCCAGGCACAGAACAGATGCTGTCCCATGGCACGGCTGACGTGGTCTTAGAGGCCTGCACAGACTTCTGGGATGGGGCGGACATCTACCCTCTTTCGGGTTCTGACAGGTGGGTGAGGAAGCACCCCTCGTGCTGATGGCAGACAGCCCCTGCCCTCTGCCCGCCTGGCTCACAGGCATGGGGGCATCTCAGGGCCACTCACCTCGCTTTTTCCCCACTTCCCTGGCAGAAAGAAAGTGCTGGATTTTTACCAGCGGGCCTGCTTGTCTGGTTACTGCTCTGCCTTCGCCTACAAGCCCATGAGCTGCGCCCTGTCCTCTCAGCTCAATGGCAAGTGCATTGAGCTTGTGCAGGTGCCTGGCCAGAGCAGCATCTTCACCATGTGTGAGCTGCCCAGCACCGTCCCAATCAAGCTGAGCACGCGCCGTAACAGCTGGAGCTCGGACGGTACCGTGCACGTCTGTCCCGTTGGGGGCCCCCACCGGGGAGGGCTTCCGGAGCGCCGTGGAATCGATCATGGCAGAGGGAACTGTGGGTGCACTGGACCTGGAGCACCAAGGTGGCACTCGCTGTCTGGTGGCACGGGCAAGTCCCTTAGCCTTCCGTTGGGTAACCAGGTGCTTGCTCTGCCCTCCTCACAGGCTTCTTGTGACCCTCCGGTGCAATAGCAAAGGGCTTTCTTTGAAGGTTGTAAAGCATCAGTATTTATAGACCATTAGGCTTATTTGACCAGACAAAAAGGCCGGGTTGCAATGCTGCTGGAACAGAGGGACTCAGAGCCACCCCACCCCTCCCCCAATGCCACCAAACAGACAGACTCACAGGGTCTTATGACCCAAAAGACCATGAATCGAGGCCATGGCTGAGAGTAAGGGCAGCCCCCTAGCCCTGGACCAGGGCCGGGCTCTATCGTTACTCCTTAGGATCATCACCTGACTGATGAGTACCTTTCATTGTCTTTTCTCCTGTGTCTGTTGGCTCCTTTATGTATCTTGGCTGTGTGTGTGTGGTCCCCCGGGGCCCACATGCTCATTGATTTGGGTGCGGCATCTGTGTGTGTGGCCTGGGCTGCCTCCTGGAATCTGCTGGTTCCTGGGTGTCCTGGCTGGGCTTTGTGCCTTGTGCCTACCTGAAGAAGGGATCGGGGAGGTGCTGGAGAAGGAAGACTGCATGCAGGCCCTGAGCGGCCAGATCTTCATGGGCATGGTGTCCTCCCAGTACCAGGCCCGGCTGGACATCGTGCGCCTCATCGATGGGCTGGTCAATGCCTGCATCCGCTTCGTCTACTTCTCTTTGGAGGATGAGCTCAAAAGCAAGGTCGGGGGGAAAGCCATCCCCCTCTGCCTCCACTGACGCTTTCTCCTGTGGGCTCGCCAGCCCCTCTGTTCATTGCCGTCTGCCTTTTGCAGGTGTTTGCAGAAAAGATGGGCCTGGAGACAGGCTGGAACTGCCACATCTCCCTCACGCCCAATGGTGACCTGCCTGGCTCCGAGATCCCTCCCTCCAGCCCCAGCCATGCTGGCTCCCTGCATGATGACCTGAATCAGGGTAAGGGCACAGGTTTGTGATGGGGACAGGGTAGGCGGTAGACAGGGTGGGCGGTTCCCCCTCCTTGGAGCTACAGCTAGAAAGAAACCCCGTAGCTCGCTCCCGAGAAGTGCACTCCCTTGGAAAATTACTCTCGTCTCCCTGCGGTAAAAACAGTCGACGGTGGAGGAGAGGAAACCGGAAGCAGGAAGTTCTCTGCCCTCTTCAGGGCAAGGAAAGGCCCTCAGAAGGCTGACTCCAAGGTGAAGGGCAGGCTTTCATCCCCACAGTGTCCCGAGATGATGCGGAAGGGCTCCTTCTGATGGAGGAGGAGGGTCACTCAGACCTCATTAGCTTCCAGCCTACAGACAGTGACCTCCCCAGCTTCCTGGAGGACTGCAACCGGGTAGGATGGCAGGGTCTGTGCCCCTGGACTCCCTGAGGTAGCTGACTGGCTGGTCCAGAGAAGGGAGGGAGGGAGGTGCCCTTCTCCTGACCCTGAGGCCACTGACACCTCTGTTCTCTTCAGGCCAAGCTGCCCCGCGGCATCCACCAGGTGCGCCCCCACCTGCAGAACATTGACAACGTGCCCCTGCTCGTGCCCCTGTTTACCGACTGTACCCCTGAGAGTGAGTACCGTAGCCATGGCTACTAAGGGCTCCCGGTAGCCCTAACCCGGTGGGCTCTGCAGGAGATGTTGCTGGCCCATGCGGGGAGCCAAGGAACCTGAGCTGGGAGGAGCCGGGGAACATAGGGGGCTGGAGCTGTGGGTGTACCCCTTCTAGGGAGTCAGAAGTGACAGTAGTTACATGATACTCACATTCTTGGGGGAGGACTGTCCCCAGAGTGGGGCCTGCTCTCCCCTGTCTCCTGCTCTCCTGCCCTGTGGGTCTCAGCCCAGAGCCTCACACAGGCCTCCACATGCCTGACTCTTGTGCCCCCCGACTCTGCCCCCTCAGCCATGTGTGAGATGATCAAGATCATGCAGGAATATGGGGAGGTGACCTGCTGCCTGGGCAGCTCTGCTAATCTCAGGAACAGTTGCCTTTTCCTCCAGAGTGACATCAGGTCAGGGGGATGCCCGAGAGTGGGGGCTTGCTTGGGGCTGGGGCATATTCCCCGGCTGGTCTTGGTATGGTTGGGACCAATGGACCTAGGCACGGTGGGGAGAGAGGGAGTGGGGGCTTGCCTAGTCCTATGGGAGATGGGATGTTTGCAGAGGGTAGCTGATGGCTATGCTTTCCCCCTACGCTGAGCAGCATTGCCCTGGATCCCCTGTACCCATCCCGCTGCTCCTGGGAGACCTTTGGCTACGCCACCAGCACCAGCATGGCCCAGGCCTCGGATGGCCTTTCTCCCCTACAGCTCTCAGGGCAGCTCAACAGCCTACCCTGCTCCCTGACCTTTCGCCAGGAGGAGACCATCAGCATCATCCGGCTCATTGAGCAGGTGGGCGCTTGGGCAGGCGGAGGGGGCAGGGATTGGGGGTTGCTGCGTGGGGTGGGGAAGAGTGACATAGGATCCATCTGGGCTCCCAGGGGCTGATTTCCCTCCAAGAGAGGCTTTCCCCGGCCGTTTCATTTGCCTCCACCCTTTGCTAGCAGGAGCATCTGGGGCACCTGGCTCTCGGCTGAGATTTGTCAGCTGTAGGCCCAGCCACAATCTGTCCCTCCCGGTCCCTAGGCGCGGCACGCCACCTACGGCATTCGCAAGTGCTTCCTCTTTCTGCTGCAGTGCCAGTTGACCCTTGTGGTCATCCAGGTGAGCTGGGGCCTGCACAGGCACTGCCCCTCCCCACACACTCCTCCACCCCAGGCCCAGCTAAGCGTCTGGGGCGGCAGGCTAGGAGGATACCGCCCAGCCTAGGGGGCCCCTGGCCTCTGCGGAACCCCCGGGCTTTTGGAGGTGACCCCATCAGCAGAATAGCGGCCCCTGCGGCCCTAGTTCCTCTGCACATCTCTCTGGGCCCGGGGCAACACAGCCCTGGGGCTCCTGGCATCCTACTATTTGACAGAACCTAATCCTGCTTCCTGGGCTCTCCTGGTCTAGTTCCTCTCTTGCCTGGTCCAGCTGCCACCACTGCTGAGCACCACCGACATCCTGTGGCTCTCCTGCTTTTGCTACCCTCTGCTCAGGTGAGAGTCAGGCTGCCCCTCCGGGTCCAGGCCGGTGGGGCTGGGACGGCACCGAGCAGCCCCAGGAGCCCAGGTCCTGGGAGACCTGCTCAGTGCTCACCACCCCTGGCACAGGAGACACTGGTGGGGGGGACTCTCCCTTGTCTTATCTCATCTCCCCCCAGACCTGCCCTCACTCCCAAAACTCCCGAAAGACTTCCCATGTGGGAATTGGGGGACAGAGGGTCACAGTCCCCACCCTTCACCAGGTCCCTCCTTTTCAGCATCTCTCTGCTGGGGAAGCCCCCCCACAGCTCCATCATGTCTATGGCCACAGGGAAGAACCTTCAGTCCATTCCTAAGAAGGTAAGCAACGTGGAGCCCTGTTCAGCCACGGCCTTTCCTGAGGAACGTGGGTGTGTGTGTGGCGGGGAGCCTTGGGGGAGAGAGAGGGGCTTCCATCAGAACTTCCCCCAACCAGAGGGGAAGTGGTGGCACAGAGCTGGGGAGGATCTTCTTCCCCTGGGGCCTGCCTGGTTCCCGCAGAGCCCGGTGCCAGAGGGGCCGGCGCCCCGGGAGTGACGGACAGCTCTTCTTTCTGCAGACCCAGCACTACTTCCTGCTCTGCTTCTTGCTCAAATTCAGCCTCACCATCAGCTCGTGCCTCGTCTGCTTTGGCTTCACGCTGCAGAGCTTCTGTGACAGCTCCCGGGCCCGCAACCTCACCAACTGCTCCTCCATCATGCTGCGCAGGTGGGTCCTGACCTCGCGACCCCACCCCGGCACCCCCCCCCCCCCTTCCCGCCCTGCCTTACGTGAACCTTATCGAGCCCTGCATCGGGCTCCCTGCTCCGTGGGAAGCCTGCTTCTCCCCCCCCCCCCCCCCCCCCCCCCCCGCCTGCTTTGTCAGGCCCGGCGGGGGGCTGAGTCCACCCCTTACTCTGACAGTCATGCCGACAACAGCGCTCCAGCCTGGTTTGACGACTTCGCCAATGGGCTACTGACGGCTCAGAAGCTCACCGCTGCCCTGATCGTCCTGCACACAGGTGAGGGGCTCCCCGGGAGGGGCCGGTGGGGGCTGTGGATGGGGGGACGTCTAACGCCGCCCCCCCACTGACCCTGTTTTCTCCAGTCTTCATTTCTATCACCCACGTGCATCGCACCAAGCCCCTGTGGCGAAAGAGCCCCTTGACAAACCTCTGGTGGGCCATGACTGTGCCTGTGGTGTGAGTATCTGCAGATGGATGTGGGGGAGGGGGAGGGGCCTTGGCAGGACTGTGGTTTGAAGTCCTGCTTCAGGGAGTTGAGCCAGAGGTCGGATGCTGCCCTCCTTGAGCTACTCGTACTGAGAAAGGCAGGGAAGGAAGCAGGAAGGCCCAGGGTCATGCAAGGCTGCCACCTCTCCCTGCAGCCTGCTGGGGCAGGTGGTCCAGACGGCAGTGGACCTGCAGCTGTGGACACACAGGGACAGCCGTGTCCACTTTGGCCTGGAGGACGTGCCTCTGCTGACGTGGCTCCTGGGCTGCCTCTCCCTGGTCCTTGTGGTGGTCACCAACGAGATTGTGAAGCTGCATGAGATTCGGTGAGCTACCAACAGGGCACGCCCTCTGGGCTCAGGCTCGTTCCCTAGGCCTGTCACCTCCTAGGCACAGCTCCCTGGCTTGTCCCCGCTGCCTGGACTTCCCTCCTCCTCTGGGGTCCTGCCCCGTCCCCAGTCTGGGCTTCTGCTCTAACCTGAGCTCTCATTTCCTGCCCCACCAGGGTCCGGGTTCGCTACCAGAAGCGGCAGAAACTGCAGTTTGAAACGAAACTGGGCATGAACTCCCCCTTCTGAGCCATTGGCCACAGTGGTTCTCGTTGCCCAGGTCCCGGGGCTAAAGCCAGACCAGTTTCTGAGTCTGGGGAGTTGGTATCATGAATGTTTCAGGGTTTCCTCTCGCGGCCTATGTCACGGGAGGCCCAGCTCCTCGTCCGACCCATCTGTCGTCCTGATCCCCAGGGCTTACCGTGGAAGAGCTGGTGAGCCGTGGCCTCAGCATCAGGACAGTCTGGTCTTGAATGTATGACCTAGTGCACTTAGCAGAGGGGCCCTTAGCCTCCTCCACCTGCGGGCTGCCTCCTTTAGGGTCTCTTAGCCCAGGGCCCTCTGCTCTTGGGTCTCCAGGCAGAGCCATGAACCTGGTGGGGCCAGGACCTCAGGGGCAGCAGCTGTGGGAGGTCCAGACGGGCCACCATGGAAGGGAGCAGTGCTGGTGCATCCTCCCTGCACCCCACCTGTCTTCCTGGGGTGGGGGCCTGGAGGTGGTCGAGTACTCCCCCTCCCTCCCTGTGTGGGGGAGCCTCACACTCGGACCCGAAGATGAAGACCCCCTGCCTTGTCCTGGTACCTCTTCCTGTGCCCGCCTTCAAGCCGGCCGGGAGTGCCAGTCCTGGGGGTATGGCCCAGGGCTCCTTTTGGCCCCCTGCCCTAGTGCTCCTGTGAGAATGTTTTTACTGGTGTATATTTTTTACTGGAAATGAGCCTTTTAGGAATGAATGTAGACTGGTTTGTATTAAAACTTGTAAACCGCTTAAGGAAAATCTGTGGCTGGTCCGTGAGGCAGCCACTCAGGGGCCCACCCAAGGCTTTGGCCGGTGAGGGAGCCCCGAAGGGAAGGGGAGGGCCCGAGCCTTGTTCCTTCCCCACTGGCAGGAGCCCTCGGGTCTGGCCCAGGCGAGAACCCTGGGCTCAGAGGTCCGTGCCACAGATCCAAACACACAGCCCGATCACGTGGAATGACACTTTCATTGGGGTTAGTTAGGGTAAGAGGTTAATGGTTACAGAGCCAGGGCCCGGGCCACCCAGATCAGGCTTCCAACCCTGAGGCTAATCGTGCGCACTCCTGCCGTGGTCCGAAGCCTCTTCCCCCGTGTCCTCTCAGGCGGTTACAGATAGAATAAATTCCATTTAAAATATATGCATTTCTCTCTGCTTAAAAAATAACATTTACAGTTGAAAAAGTTTGGACTTTGGGGATCTGTTGCTCCCACTGGCCCTACCCCTGCCAGTTTTGCCTCACTGAGGGCAGGAGCAGGGGCGAGCAGGGGCGGGCCGGGGCAAGCAGGGGCGGGCCAGGGCTCGGCCACCGCCGAGAGCAAGCCCCTGGCCGCTTAGTTACATGTCCTATGTACACCTGTGCGGACCCGGTCAGACACACTGCCTTCTCCAGCCTCCATGTGTGCCCGGACAGCAGGGCAGGTGTCAAGAGATCCTTGGCACAGGGACTGGAGCCCCTGGAGGTGGGGGAGGGCAGAGGGAGCACCCCAGAAGCCGCCTCTTTCTCCCTAGGGAGGGAGCTCTTGCCAGCGTCCCTGTCCACGGGGCAGGGCTGTCTGGTCAGGTTACACACCGGGAGGGGGCTATGCTGAGATGTCGGCTTCTGACAAGTCTCCTCAGCCTCCAGTGGAGACGGCCCCCCCAGCACTGCAGCGCCGACAGCCGCTGGCTTGGAGTAGCAGGACGGCCTGCGCTTGGGCAGGCGCGCTTCTGCACGGGGGGCAAAGGCTGCAGACGCTGTAGGTCATGATGGGCGCTGCTGAAGGCCACCAGAGGCTCTCAGTCCAGCATGGCGTCCAGCTGGTCAGCCAGGGCGTCAAACATGGTGCTGATGTCATCCAGAATGTGCTTGGTGGAGGTGCCGGGAGGGCTGCAGCGGGGCAAGGACTGGGTCAGATCGGAAAGTGGGCCATGGGTGGGCCAGGGGCTGTGCCTGAATACCTGGCCGGTGCCAAGCACTCTTGTGCATCTTAACTTCTCACGGCCTCCCTTACGTGAGAGCACTAGGGCTCAGGAGGAAGTGATGTGCTCAAGCTCACATGCCTCTAAGTGGCAGCCACCAGGATTCCCCACAGGTCAGATCTGGGTGACTTCAGAGCCTGGGCTCCTCCCATTTCAACGAGGGTCACCCCAACCTAAGGATCTGTCTGCCCCCCTCCCCCACCCCCGCCAACATGCCCAGGACCCTGGGGAAGAGGAGTTAGGAGGAGCTGTTCCTCCACTGCAGCCCTCTCCCTCCCCACCCGCCCAGCACCCAGCACCCAGCACCCCTCACCCCTCTCGCTCCTCAGTGCCAATGCTCTTCTCTGCGGCCCTTAACGCAGCTGCCAGGGATGAGCTGGTCTGTTCCAGCCTCTGCTGGGCCCGGCCAGAGCCCACGGCCCCAGTGCTCTCTGGCCTCGGAGGAGGCACGGGGCGGGGGCCGAGCCGGGGAGCCAGCTTAGGGCCAGAAAATGCCAGCTGGGTGCAGGCCACAGACACAGGCTTGGGGGCCGTTCCTGCAGAGGCAAAAAGGTTGGCTGTGACTCCGACAGGCTGGATGCAACCCTTGCAGATGACGCTCCCTCCCGCGGGCCCTGCCTCATACCTGCACCCGGCACCTTGATGAGGGCAGCAGGGGAAGCAGGGGGCTCCGTCTCCCCAGGCCGCCGACTGCCTGCACTGTTTTCCAGAGCAGGCCCAGAGCTGGGGGGCGTGGGGGGCGCAGGGGGCTGGGCTGGGGGGCCGGGAGAAAGAGGGGCTGGAGCTCCCTGAGTTGGAAGGCTGCTAGGGTCAGGCCGGGGAGGGCTGGGAGCAGCTGAGGAGGAGGGCTCGCTGGGGGTCTGCGAGGGCAGGGGGGCGGAGGGGCCGGGCACAGCACTGGCCACTCCGAAGGCCAGAAGTGCCGTCTGCAGCGGCTCTCTCTCCCGGCATTTGGGCCTCCGCTTGACAGTGTCTGACTCGGTGAGGTTGAAATCCAGGCCAGCGGGCACAGGCGCCTCCCGGGGTGGGGGGCCCGCTGGCTTCGGCCGCTGTTTGATGGTCAGGTTCCCCTCCTCCGCAAATGGGAGCCCCTCTCCTGAGCTGCCCCGAGATGGGGGTGTCCCCTCTGGCCCTGGTTCCTCCTCCTCTGTGTCCGACGCGGGGCCAGCCGGGGCAAGCGGGCCGGAGGGCTCCGAGGGGCCAGTTGGTTCACTCAGTGTTCGCCTTCGGGGCACAGAGGCCCCCTCCTTAGGCCCCGGGCTTCCATCTACAGGAGGAGGCTCCGTGGTGGGGCCAGAGACGGAGCTGAGGCGTTTAGGGGGTGGGGGTGGCGGGCCTTTGCGTCGGGCACGAAGGGCAAAGGACTGGCTCCGGGGAGCCCCTCGAGCTGGGGTCGGGCTAGGGCTGGTCCGCGCTAGGGCACTGCGTCCTGGTCGCCGGGTGAGGGTGGCATAGCTGCCCAAGGCACTGCCCACCGGCCCTTCAGCCTCCCCCTCTGCTTCCCCCTCAGCAGGGCCGGGGCGGCTCAGGCTGTGGGACCGGCGCTTGGGCCGAGGCGGGTCCGGAGGAGTGGCAGGGGGACCAGCCAAGTAGGAGAAGGCACGAGGTGCGCCAGGAGGTGGCCCTGGGGCTGGGCTGGAGGGTGAGCCCTGGGGATACATAAACACATAAGGGGGGGGCCCTTGGCCAGGAAGTGGGGAACAAAGCTTAGGGGGTCGCTCTGTGCCCTCTGGAAGGTTCCTCTCCTGTGGGGTGCTGGGGTCTCCACCACTGGGCTGGGGGGCAGGCTGTTCCTGTGAATGACCTGACCCTCGTGAGCGTGCTCCAATGCTCTCCTGGCTGGGGGAGCGGGCAGGGGGCAGGGGGAGGGGCTCAGGGCCGCCTCCCGCCATGGCTGCCTGTAGCTCTGGGCTTAGCTCGCTGCCCTGAAAGGTGAGGAGGCGTGGGCCCGCTGCAGCCGGACCGTCCCCATTCTCCAGCCCCTCGATAGCCATCAGCTCCGGGCCTCTGACTAGCCGGCGGCCGCCTTCCACTGGGGCCTCCCCCTGCAGTAGGCCCCGCCGGAGCTCGGCCAGCCGCTTCACTCCCAGCATAAGCTTCTTCTGATGACCTGAGAGGGGATGGGTAGAGCCCACAGGGTCAGCTGGGGCTGCAAAGGCCCACCCCAGTCCCTCCTGGACCCTGTTCTCCCCCCTGGGCTTGAACCCTGAAACGTTTGAGAGCCCCCTGGAGGCATGTGGGGGCCCGGCCAGGAGGCCCCAGGGCAGTCCTCACCGAGCTTGTTGACCCCGATCTCCTGCAGCTCCTCCCAGGTGAGGTCGGCCACCAGCCCCATGGAGTCATAGCCGCTGCTCACCAGCTGCTTGTGGTACTGAGGCAGGCCCAGCGCACACAGCCACTCACGCAGGTCCGCCTGCAAAAGCAGCCCATGGGAACTGGCTCCCGGGCCGGCCTCGGTGCCCCAGCCAGGACGGGCCCGCACAGCCGCAGCTGAGGCGGGTAGCCGGTGCCGGCCACCTGCTCACCGGGATGTAGTTGGGCAGCCACTCGGCGATGCTGAGCTGAGCAATCTCTGAGGCAATCTTCTTCCTATGCCCAGGCTTGGTCACGCCGATGGCCGTCAGGTCCTGCCACACAGACTCGCGCCATTAGGCCCCCTCCGGCGCCCACCAGGCCCTCCGCTGCCCTCCGGCCGTGGCCCCTACCTCGGGAGTCATTCGGCTGATGGTTGGCACGTCGTAGCCGGCCTGCAGAAAGTGGGCGGTGTAGCCTTCCAGCTGGAACTCACTCAGCCAGTTGTGAATGGCCTGAGCATCCTGCGGTGTGGGGGCAGGGGTTGACGTTAACAGCGATGCCTACTGAGGAGGAGCTGAGGCCGTAGCCCGGCCATCTGCCCCGGCCTCCCCTAGGCGCCTGGCCTGCGCAGGGGCCCATCCCACACCACCGCACCCCTAGGGCCCATAGCCCGCTTCCCAGTTGCGGGGGGGGGTCACACCTTCCCCTCCAGCAGCTGCTCAGGCCTCACGTCCTGCGTGAAGAGCTGTTCCCCAGAGCGGTAGTTGACCAGAGGGCGGTGGCTCAGGTTGTCTTCAGGAGGGAGAGAGGTAGAATCAGGAGCGACCACGCTGGAAGGGTGCCCACCCAGGTACCATTCACCCTTCCTACCTGCCAGGGATGGGGGGTGCAGTCCTGGCAGCGCCTGGTCCTCTCCGGGGGAAGGCAGTGGCTAGAGACAGGGAAGGGGTTACTCAGCAATGTGGGGAGCTGACAGCAGGATGGAGGGCCCTGTCCTGGTCCCAGCGCCCCCTCCCTCCTCCTCCCTCCTACCTGGGCGTTCTCGATAAGAAGGCCAGTGCCATGGCCGTTGGTGCCCTCGGAACTCTGCCCGCTGCCGGCACTGCGAATGCTGCCCACGCTGCCCTCGCTGCCCACACTATTCCTGTCACCTGCTGCAGGGCCACAGGCAAAGGGGTTAGAGCCCCAGCTGGCCCTGCCAACAGCTGACTGGCAGCTTGCCGAGGTCAGACGCCCACCCTGGTGCCCAGCACCGCCCTCTGGGAGGATGCACCTGGGCTGTCTGGGCTGAGGCCCA